CTATCATAATCCAGAGTTTTGAGAAGATTGGAGAAACTTAATTTTTCGCCCAAAAATGAAAAAAAAACAAAAGGGGTAACACTGTCGTTTTTTTTTTCGGGTCGAAATTTTGAATTTTGATATCTCAGCTCTGGAAGGGTCTAGAGCCTCCATTTTTGCACTCAGGTCAAAGTTTCACAGCCCTCTATCATAATCCAGAGTTTTGAGAAGATTGGAGAAACTTAATTTTTCGCCCAAAAATGAAAAAAAAACGAAAGGGGTAACACTGTCGTTTTTTTTTCGGGTCGAAATTTTGAATTTTGATATCTCAGCTCTGGAAGGGTCTAGAGCCTCCATTTTTGCACTCAGGTCAAAGTTTCACAGCCCTCTATCATAATCCAGAGTTTTGAGAAGATTGGAGAAACTTAATTTTTCGCCCAAAAATGAAAAAAAAAACGAAAGGGGTAACACTGTCGTTTTTTTTTCGGGTCGAAATTTTGAATTTTGATATCTCAGCTCTGGAAGGGTCTAGAGCCTCCATTTTTGCACTCAGGTCAAAGTTTCACAGCCCTCTATCATAATCCAGAGTTTTGAGAAGATTGGAGAAACTTAATTTTTCGCCCAAAAATGAAAAAAAAAAAAAAGGGGTAACACTGTCGTTTTTTTTCGGGTCGAAATTTTGAATTTTGATATCTCAGCTCTGGAAGGGTCTAGAGCCTCCATTTTTGCACTCAGGTCAAAGTTTCACAGCCCTCTATCATAATCCAGAGTTTTGAGAAGATTGGAGAAACTTAATTTTTCGCCCAAAAATGAAAAAAAAAACAAAGGGGTAACACTGTCGTTTTTTTTCGGGTCGAAATTTTGAATTTTGATATCTCAGCTCTGGAAGGGTCTAGAGCCTCCATTTTTGCACTCAGGTCAAAGTTTCACAGCCCTCTATCATAATCCAGAGTTTTGAGAAGATTGGAGAAACTTAATTTTTCGCCCAAAAATGAAAAAAAAACAAAAGGGGTAACACTGTCGTTTTTTTTTCGGGTCGAAATTTTGAATTTTGATATCTCAGCTCTGGAAGGGTCTAGAGCCTCCATTTTTGCACTCAGGTCAAAGTTTCACAGCCCTCTATCATAATCCAGAGTTTTGAGAAGATTGGAGAAACTTAATTTTTCACCCAAAAACGAAAGGGGTAACACTGTCGTTTTTTTTTTCGGGTCGAAATTTTGAATTTTGATATCTATATCATAATATATATATATATATATATATAAATTTTGAATTTTGATAAACATGATGGTAGTATTTGTTGTACAGTTATGATTTAATAGGTAAAAAAAACTTCTTAAAATGTCATATAGAGCAAAATACCTGTATTACAGACAGTGATGACAGTAATGTTAAATGTTAAAATGTTAAATATCTGGATACATTGTGGTAACGATGATGTACATTATTTCATTACCAAGCTAAAAATGCTTTCAAAAACACAGTGGCCATGGGCTTTAATTTATTTATGCTGGATATAGCATTTTTTGAATCTTTTGATTTTGTAGTGAAATCTGACCTGGATGTGTTTTTAAGAGAGAGCAACACACACACACACACAAGCAGCAGCACCACAGCAGCTGGTAGTCATGGCTGCACATCACGCTACACTAGGCGCCCACAGATGCTCATCCAGATTGCTGCTAGAGGCACGTCAGCAACAGACAGCGACTCGCAGAATGCTGACATTCGTTGGAGATTATTGCAAATGGAGTGATGGTCCGCAAAGCGCCGGCGCTTTCGGCTCTGTTAATACTACCATGCTGTTGTTTTGTTATTAGAACCAGTTAGTAATTCAGACTCTCCCTCTTTGTCAAAGAACACCTACAGTACATGCTGCCTCGCTGATTTCCATTTCTCCCCAGGTGCATGTTGAGAAAAGAATGGACACTGACCACGTGAGGGCATCTTCATGGGGTCATGTGATCACTTCTGTTCCCATATTGACTTCAATCGTTATGACACATTCCATATATCAACATAATAAAAGAGCAACGATTGAAGTACTACGATAAGTTATATATATTTTTTTTAAATAAAAAAGTTGATTCAATATGTTTTACTATGACAGGGACAGATTTAATGTTGTTTTTCAAATACTTTTTGTAAACTATAAATTCAAATATCTATAAATGATCTGAATGCTGATTGTAAATCAATCAGCCGATTCTGAGGTGTGTAATGAATCCTGAATGTTAAGTCAAACAGACACGACTCAACCCAAAGCAGATTGACAGTGCTTTATTTAAGCAGTCTGTAAGAAGGAAAATAATGTGCATCCCTATCATATACATTTACGTGTAAAAATACTAGGATGTACAGTGTACAAAAACAGTTTCTTGCAGATAAGCTTTCCACATCCGCATGGGACCTATATTCAAGGAAATATTTTTTTTAAATTATTATTTAATATGATGGATGGTAATACAGTTCTTCTTTACTTTTATATTTTTTTTTTCTGTGTTAATCCCTTCCATGTAAAATTCTTACCCACATGACTAGTTCTCAACATGGACCTAATGACAGAGCTAGCAAGGTCAAGAAATGTCACAAACTCTAAAGCTACATGGACATAAAATGTGTTTTTTTTTTTTTTGTTTTTTTTTATAGATTTGTCTTTTGTTTTTAAATAAATACTTTACAATTCATGCTCATTCATAATACACTACCAGGAGCGCGATATAGAGAAAGTCTGTTGTAGACAGTACAAACAGTAGCAGCAGTGGCACGCTGAGGTGCGCTTCGGAGGGATGGCTCTCCATGGGTCCCTTCCTCACACTAGTTCAGGATTCAGGGAAGAATGACTTTAGCTTGGGTCTTTATTGTCCTCTGAAACTCTTGAAGTGGTGACACTGGTACAGATCAGCTTTTCTACAACACTAGAGCGCTAGGAAACCTCGGGAAACGTTAGTCTGTCTGTGTCACCAGGCAAAGGTTGTGTCTCCTGGCAGCGTTTCACGTCTATCTGCATCCACGCTGTTACATATACAGAGCACAATCACTCAGAAAAGTAAAGTAGCATGAGGTCAATGAGGCGCGAATCTGTGCTTTCAAGTATTTTCTTCTTTTTTTCCTGTTCTTTTTTTTTTCCCCCAAAGCATGGACCTTATTTCTTTATGCTGAGCTATATAAAAAGAGCAATGGGTATGAAAGTGCTACTACAGGCAGATACAAAGCCAAGTGTTAAAATATGGAGTTACAAAAGTGTATGATTGATTTGGCCAAAGCCAAATGCCCTTCTGCCGTTTAAATAAAGTATTCCCAATGAACGCATTTCACATGCAAGGTACCGGCCCAATAAACAACATTCTCTGCCTCTCCATGTCTTGAGGAAAAGTCCCTCACAAGTGCATATTAAACGTATTGAAATGGATGAACAGTGTCACAGTATGATTCAATTATCCTAATGAGTCGTACAATCACAAATCAGTTTATCTAAAGTTAAAAAGCAAAAATAAAAGGAAATACAAAATGAGTGCTTTCATCTCCCTATACAATATAAATTAAAATCGTAAATGTTACCTAATCAGAAAATGTAAAACAAGACAATAAAAGAAGCAAACGAACAGAATTGAACACCAAAAAAAAAAACGAAAAACATTCAGCAGTACAAGCCTATTAAATTATATGACGTAGTGGCATTAATAATCTTTTCTCTCTCTTTCTCTCGCTCTCAAACAATAAATAAATCAAATCAGAAAAAGGAATGGGAGGAAAAAAAGTCGGAAGACAGAGAACGACACAAACAGCGAATCGTCCCGCAGTACCACAGCCTGGACATCACAGTTTTAAACGCAAGAACATCCTCAAGCTCAACAGTACCATGCTACAGCATCTCACATCACACGACTGGAAAATCAACAATGCTCATCGATCAATGCAGGCGTTCTGCCGGAAAGGGATGTGGACAGAAACGTTCTGAATCGTCATCAAACCCTCATCAGTCCTTAACACACACGCAAGAAACTCCAGTTCAGACGCCTCACTCTATCAAACCTTGTTCCACTTCACTACTTCTTCATAAATCACTTCCCTCTTCATTAATGTCCCACCTTAGTATGAAAATTCTCATACAGGGGCTGCACTGGGCCACATCTATTAAAAGAACACATTAAACGCAACATCAACATGCACCTAAGCCACCTTTACACTCCCAAAATAAACACCACAGACAGACTTTTATTGCCAAACACCGTGGAGAAATGTGCTGCATATATCAAATTATTACTCAATAATCTAGATATTTCCCTTTGATCTCATTTAAGGAATTCTGTCCATCTGAACTCATTCATCGCTATCCTAGCAAGCTTAAGTCAATCACATCCTCAGTCTGCCATCAGAAACATTTTCACTCATAAATGTTCAATGTTCAGAGAAGAATTTGTAAGCTAATATCTGATTGGCGTACGGGTCCATGATGGAAGGATTCGATTTGTGTATACTATATTATTCTAGGAAGGATTGTGATCATGATATTACATAACGCTTAGTATTTACAGGGTTTCTGCAGGTTTTATGAAGGTAAATTTAAGACCAAGAAATGCACCAGTTCTATTAGCAACACTTCAGAGTTTGAAAATGCAACTTCCAACAGATAGCCATTACTTTTAGATTCAATAGCTCTGTTCCAAACCACTAGAAAATGTAAATAACTTTTTATTATATCTTCTGATGATCACAATGCACAAAAGTGATGTTCTTCATGTATTTTTGTCTCGTTTTCCAATGAAACTCAATTAGGATTCTTAAAAGGGTGATGAACTGAGAAATCAAGCTTTTGACATCTAAGAGGTCATCATAGTATAAGAATATCCTGTAAGTTTCAGAACTGAAAACGTCCTTGTTAGTCCAATAAAAGCTTTTATTGACACCAGCCTCAGCAAACGACTCGTTTTTCAAAGTGGGGAACTATGACGTCAAAGAGGATAAAACACCACCCTACTTCAACATGGCCGGTTTAGCCCCGCCCACCGATTCGGGCATTACACGCATAGCTAAATAACATAGATGCCGCAGCCTACCTCGTGATGATCAAGCTACCGAGCAATACAAAATATTGCTCAAAACTTAATATGGCTCAAAACTTGGATACAAAATAGCCTATTACTTCTTCCGTTTGATGTTTTTGAATGCAAAAACCAAGCGAACATCATAAGTTGACGTCAGACAACAATATAATAAAATTTAAAAAGCCAGTTCATTTACTAGATAACAACTACTAAATAAGTAAAACAAGAACAAATATCTGCCAACGGGCTGAGAAAAAAAATGAAATCATCTTAATTTAAAAGGATTTTTTCATAAGTATAAACTTGTGTTTTTAAGACTTCATTTTACATTTGCTTTTCAAGTAAAAGCATCAAAGACGTTTAGATAAGCGTATCGGAAAACATAATTTTTTTTAATGTCATAACTCATAAATTTAAAGACCCACAATAGACTTTTTACGACCCACAGAAACCCTGATTTAACTTGTCTATACCTACAATTAAACAAAACGATTCCTTGATTTTCACTCTCCTGCCTTGAAGCAACAACAAGCACGTGCAGAGTTGTGTTTAAATGCCCGAACGCAAAGCACAACGGGACGCGTGTCCTGCTCCGTTGCGGACTTTCACATACAGTAACCCGCTGCCAGAGGATTGAATCGGTGTGGTCTTTTACAGCCCTTTCATTGGTGGAAAGACAAGCAACACATTTCAACATCACAGTCAGATTGAGGACACTCACAATATTGAGAAGGGTCAAACTCCTTAGAGAACAACACTACACGGGTGCGAAAAGACGACGGTTCAGGGAAAACAAAATTACAAAACAAACCGAGGCCTTTGCATTGACCCGTCTACATTCGTAAGCCTTTTTAGGTGCATTTGTTTCATTCAAAAAAGGAGACTTAAAAAGCACTCTTACTAAACGAGAGAACAAACAAACAAAAAGAAAAGAATAAGTTAAATTTGCTTAAATATATATATATATTTTTTTTTTTTTAATCACTTTTTTTTTCTCATAGAACATAAAACAGTGCTTCCTGCATTCTTTTCATTAATGCTGTTTTTTTATCTTATACTCTGATTGCGATATTGAGTGAAAAGTTTGGGCTTTTGGGGAATTCATTCTGCTCATCGCTGCATAAAACATTCCACATCAGTCAAACATGCCATCTTCTCCATAAAACACTGAGACGCTTCTTCTTAGGGCGCGATATGCAAGAAATAAAGCTTGGAAATAATCTGAGGAACCATTTTCGTTTTAGACTGCATAGCTCAGGTTCACAGGGCTTTATCTGAAGGAATACTGTGTTGTGGAATGATGAGGGGTAAAGCTAGTCCTGGTGAACACAGATATCCTCTGTGAAGCCTGAGTAAACCATTTATGGCAGTTTTAACTTTATATCGTAAAAGCCATGTGAATCTCTAGCCATGCAGTTTTATGTTTTCATCTGAACTGAACGGATGTGTCAAACAACTTGATACCACTTTCCCATTGAAAAAGGAAAGTGGAGCAACATCTCAAAGCAAAAGAGAGAAACACAATAAATACAAAACTCCTAACAAACAGCTAAAGTTCTCCCATCTCGACCCAACCTTTGGGCTGGAGCTGTGAGGACGTTTGAGCGGGCTGGACCTCGGTCCGACCCCACGTACAAATTCCCGTCACCCTTAATCAGGAGTTTCCATTGGTCTAGCTAAACGAATGAAAGAACCAAGATGGACGATGGAGGGTCAACAGGGCCGGGGCTGTTAGAAGCTGAAGACCTAATTTGTTCCAGTGGTGACCTTGATGAGGATGAGGCAGTTTCGGCAGCGTGGCGCTCACTCTCTCCCGCTGGCGGAGTAGGAGAACTGGGGGAAGTGTGGCCGTCGCTCGTTGTCCATGCAATCCATCCCATCTTCATCGACTGAGGAGAAGGGCACAGGGACAATCGGTCAGGAGGGGGCTAGGCTAATGTCACCGGTCATTTTCAGCCAAGCTTATGCAAATGAAATATTTTATGCTGTTAGCTGAGAGGAAAACTTTATCGGAGCCACTTTTACACTTTCCGTCGGGTCACAAAAAAAGCCCGCAATATGCCAAAAAAATAACGCACCCACACACTTACTGGAAACAAGCTGTTGAAAATGGAGTCAGTGGAAGTTTGCAGGCGAAAACAAGGTTGTTACGTTTATTAAAAAGGGTGATGAGGACAAAATGTAATTCATCCCACACATCCTAAATATCTACTAGACCTTCTATAAGCTTTGATATTGAAAATATGACTGCCTTAGTTTTACCTCACACTCTCTAAACCCATTCAATTTAGCATTCAGAAGAATTCATAACCATTATTTGCAGCTGAAGTACAAAAACTGCTCAAAACGTTTTCGATTAGCATTTCATTTCATCAATGTTTATACAGTCAAGGCCGATGATGAAAAAATGAGGGAAATTTAAAATGGTTGCTATTCTATTAGGGAGGGATTGACCCACAACTAACATACTTGTTGTATAAGGGTGTCCAAAATGAAGAAAGGAGGGGGGAGAGGTCGGGTGTGTCAAGTTTAAAACACATGTAATAAGTGCTTAGCATTTATGTTGGTTTACAAAACTTTTTGAACAAATATTTTGAACAAGTTTACGTATTAACTGACAAAAGGTCAAGTATACACTGCAGTTGTACAGTACAGTATAAGTTTGGGGTCAGAAAGATGTTTTTAATGTTTATCTCCTCTGCTCAATATATTATAAAATGTAATTTATTCCTTGATGGAAATGCTGAATTTTTCAGCATCATTAATACAGTTTTCAGTGTCACATGATCCTTCAGAAATATTTTTCATATGCTGACATATGCTGCAAGCAGTTGTGCTGCTTAATATGTTTGTGGAAAGTGATCCATTTTATTCAGGATTATTTGATAAATAAAAAGTTCAAAAGAACAGCATTTATTTGAAGTAGAAATATTTTGTGACATTACTTAGTCACTTTTGATCAATTTGATGCAACCTTGTTGAGTAAAAGTGTCAATTTCCAAGCACACTCATAATGCAGAAATCTAAAAATTACTAAAATATGTATTTTATTCTATAAATCTAAAGAATATTGTGGCAAATTTAAAAATGCTTTTAAAGCTGAGTTAACATCTTTAAATCTATTATTCTCCAGATTCAGTCCGGGTCTGCACTGTAAAAATGAATATGCTTTATCTAATCAATAAAATTATTTAATAAATTGAACAAATTAGAATTGAGTAATAGTTAATCAAATTAACATTCTAATTAATTCTAATTTGTACAATTTAATTAATAATATTGCTTGTAATATGTTGCCACAATTTTATTGATTAGATAAAGCATATTATTTTTTTCAGTGTGTGTATGTGAGATGAAGATCAGATGAAATGTTTTGAACGACTCATGAATATAACCAGATGACTTCTTCACAAACCTTCTGAAACAATATTTTGTGCAAACAAAAAGTAACACCCGTAGTTTTCAGGCGATCTTGATTTGTGCCAAAAATCATTTTCCAGCACACAGCATACCTCTCACCACTGAGAAGATAATTAATTCAGCACAGTGCAACATGATGCCAGTGTGTTTTCTGAATGCACTTTTATATCATTACAGAATTGCCAATGTATGCAGAGACAAACTCACATTTTTCAGGTGGGGTTATTGTAATCGTCTGAGCTGTGAACTCTTCATCGAAATATCTGGTATCTGTCTCTGACGACACCTGAGGCTTGAAGGGAGGTATCAGCTGAGGAAGGAAGAGAGGGGGATGAAGCACCTGTTTGTGCAGATCTGACACTGCATAGAGTGTGGCGGGCTGGAGGGCTCAATCTAACGCCTCTGAACCGCACCTCCTCTGCCAGCCATTGTGTTATTTGAGAAGGCAGTTTAAGTGACAGTGACCTATTATAACATTGAGTCACACATAACCTCTGTTTTAACATGTATCATCAAAAGTATTTTGCTGTGTATAAACAATGAACTATTCAATTTCATGTTTCTCCATAAAAACGTTTTACACAAAGAAATGAATAACACATTTAAAAAAAAAGCTTATAAAAACAAAGCATGAAATAAGAAAGAAAATCAAATTATGACATTTATAAAACCCAATTATGAGATATAAGGCCCTATTTTATCTAAGCGCATGGTCTAAAGTGCACGGTCGACTCGGCATGCCTGGCATATGGTGTAAAAGGGTTGTACCTATTCTCTTAATAAGTAATCGGTGTGTTTTGGGCGTAACATGCAATAAAACAATCAGTTCAACAATCATCTCCCATTCCCTTTAAAAGCCAGTTGTGCTCGCACCATGGGGGATTCACTATTTGCAAGCGTAAAAACTGAACGCTTCTCTAGCGAGAAAACAGATCTGCTTGCGCGTGAGGTTAAAGCACGAAAGCAGACCATCTACGGGACAAAGAGCGTTGTTCAACCACCTATAGGCGGATTATTACCACGTTTTACTAACGTGCTCTTTAAATAACAAAAAAAATATGAGACCAGGTTTCAGTTGGTCGCAATGCACCTGTACACATCTCATTTTCAGACCAGGACGTGAAAATGATAACTTCGTCAGGCTGAAACTAGCAAAAAGCACTAGCACCGGGTGAATGATAGGGCCCATAAAGTCACAATTACAACTACAAAAAATGTTGCAATTATAAGGAAAAAAATATTTTCTTAATATTTTATACTGTAATGCATTTTTATGTGTAGTGGAGAATGCAGGACAGCATAGATTCTAAGTTACCTTTTTGTCATAGACATCCTGCCAGTCAATTCCAGTAAAGAAACTATGTCGCATAATTTCCTTAGCATCATCCGGACCTCCACCAAGTCTGACAGGAAAAATAAAGGAAAGGATTTGTATTTAGCCAGAAGACAACTGATGATTTTACACCAGTTCCTGTCTAAATAAGTGAAATAAACAGAAAAAAACAGTTGAAATGTATAAAGAAATCATTGTGATGAATCTGGGTTTCTGGGTTAGACCAGGTGTGCAGTTTGTACCTCTTGTTGGGATCTTTGATGAGCAGACCTGACAGCAGGGACTTGGCATCAGCTGAAAGCGTCCTGGGGAACTTGATGTCCTCCATTAGAATGAGCTCGAAGAGCTTCTCGTGGTCCTGATTGTAGAAAGGCAGTCGGCCACACATCATCTCGTACATGACCACACCAAGACCCCACCAGTCCACCGCACGGCCGTAATCATTGTCCTCCAGAACCTGAAGACAAACACACACATACACACATTTAATCATGGATAAGCTTTTAAAAATATGGACCATTGCTGTGGAAGATTCATATCTTAAGAACTGTCTCCCTTTTAACTCTTGAGTGTGAATTTGAATTGAACTGGCCACAACCGACAGAAGCTGAATTGGAATTTCATTGACAGAAAGAGGGATTTGCATTTGGAATAAATTTAACACAGGTAATGCATTCTAAAATCCATCCAACCACCTATCCACCTATCCATCCATCTATCCATCTATCTATCTATCTATCTATCTATCAATTTGTCAGACCATCCATCCGTCCGTCCATGTAACATAACACTGAATCAATTTCATGTCCATAACAGTCATTACAACTGAGAGTTTCAAAATGAATGGCAGTTATGAACAACTGTTAATATATGAATATGAGTAGCAGATAATGGCAGCACTTCACACACTGTCATTGTAGTGCTTCTCATCACCAAAATCATATCAGCGCAAGCCAGCTCTCTCTCTCTAGCCCATCAGCTCTAGACTGATAAAAGCGACTGAACGTTCATTCTGCACCAGTGTATCGGGTCAAACGTCCAGCGCAGGATACAGTTGGAACCTGGAAGCACAGTCCTAAAAGCCTGCTATCGTTGGATCAAAGCTGTGCTTTTGGGCAAGCATCCCGGGCCCCAATTACTGAGGATGCTCATACATACCTTTACCAGTAAGTCTAGGTGGCAGAAATAAGGGGGCTGGAGTTAGTGTGCGATGGAGAAGGTCTCTTCAGAGCAGAGTCGTGATTAATACGTCTGACTAATGACAAGTCTGGTTGGCACTAAGCCAGTTAACCATATGCTCAAAGTGGTGTTATAATGATGTCTCCTTTCTGATCTTTAAAAACAGGCAGACCTGCACGAGTCAACAGCAGCTTTCATTACCCCGTTTGATTAGGGAGCACAATACGAACGTGTGGAAGCAACGCTAACAACCTCCATAGAGTGAGGTGTGTGTATATGACTACTACGCCACATATTAATGTCAGAACAAATGTGATGAACGGTACATTGCACATTGAGTGTTTTAAACTACACTACCATTGAAAAGTTTGTGATCAGTAAGAAATTAATACTTTTCTTTAACCGTTAAGAAAATAATCTTTTTTTTAAGTGACGGTAAAGGCATTTATGATGTTACAAAAGATTTCTATTAAAAATAAATGCAAAAAATCATAAGCAGCACAACTTACTTTTAACATTATTAATAATAAGAAATGTTTCTTATACAGCAAATCAGCATTTGATGATTGTGACACTGAAAACTGGAGTAATGATGCTGAAAATTCAGCTGGAATTAATTACACTTTAAATATCTATATTCAAATGCAATAGTTATTTTAAATTGTGACAATATTTCACAATATTATTGCTTTTACAGTTGTTTAATCAAATAAATGCAGTCTTGGTGAGCATAAAAAAGTAGTGTATATATTACTTAGTGGAATACATGTAAATAAATGTCATCAAACGTGCTAAAAAAGTTCAGCTATTTTACATAGTGGAACAATTATTTATTGTACTTACTATTCATAATTAATTGAACTATTTATGGGTATCTTTGCTTCATACAATACAGTTCATTTTTTTCCCCATTTAAGAAGGCTTTTCATAAAAAGTTTGTGAGAGTGAGTTAAAGTGTGTTCGAATTACAGAGACAGAATGGGTGTGTTTGTGCACGTCTATGCGAAGACAGGACAGGACTGTGTGTTCTGGAAGAAAACAGGAGCGCAAGCACCGTTCATGTGTGTGTGTGTGCTGCAAGTATGGCCGGATTGTGCTGTTTGTCCTGGGAGTGTACGTGAGCAGCTCGGCTGCAGGCGGGGATGCGATTAATGCACACAGAGCCAGTTGGGGTCTCCCTGTTCCAGAGCCACAGGCGAGGAGGAGCGGCCGCAGGGGAGGAACAGGCCCCTGCTCGGACAGCCATGTGGCAGGGCTGCTGCTCCCAGGACTGGGCCCTTGGCAAGACTGGACGGGGAGGGATGGGACAGAGAGCCTGTGGCTCCACCAGCCCAGTTCCCCAGCAGGGCAGTGGAACAGACAGCCTCCATGAGCTTATCCCACTTTGGCCGGGCTATACGAAGACGCTTGCGCATATGCGCAGAGATGGGTGTGCAAAGTGCATACAAATGTATGCACACATACTGTAAACACGCACAGATCACGGCATCCACGCTTACCTGCTGCTACGCACCTGTACGCATCCCACAAAACGACGAACGCTAGCCACACCTGCATGCTGACAAACGCACGTCCTGCAGGCTCATTTAGACAAAACTAATGTGCTCTGAATCACACCTGGAAACCAGCGATATGTTTTATTGGTTGCAAACATGCTGCGGAAGCACTGTAATTACTAAATGCTGAAGATGTGACAGATGAGCACTCGATGACAGATGACATAGAGCTTGTGAGAAACAAACCACTATTAGAGAAGTATTTCTGTAAATGTAGCTTCATTCATTCTCATTAACACTTAAAACATTTGGTGAGGGCCAAATTTAAGCGAAACTATTCCAATTTCACTCCTGTAACCCTAAAAGAAAATATTTTTTTTTCCTCAAAATATCTTTCACACTCTCTCTCTCTCTTTCTTCTTTCTCTCTCTCTCTCTCGCTCTCTTTAATCCCCCTCTACTTTGCATCTCCAGAACTTGGCTCAGGCTGTGCTCTGTTATTTTTACACCAGTACGGCAGTATAGATTTCCAGGTTTCCCAGCCACCTTCTTCCAACCTTCCCCATCTGCCACCATCTGCCTCTGTTTAGCATGTACTTTTTTGTGCAATCACATACTCTTGTGAAAAATAACCAACACTCAAATCATCTCCTGGCACAGCGGCCAGGCTGAGCAAAACAAAATGTTGCGCCAAATTGTCTTCCGTACTTTTTCGAGTGGAATCTATATCCCCCTTCACTCCCGCTGCCGCCCCCTGCCCGCTCCCCCCTCCTGTCTATAAATATGGATTTAGCCACAGCAATCTGGGCACCGTGAACACCTCTGGTTGGACAGAAGGTTGAACAGCTAACTACTGTTCAAAGGAAATAAATGTGATACTTATTTGTGCTAATTATTTATTTTTAACAGGGTGGGCACTATATAATTAATAAAAATATCTAACACTTATAACACTTTCTATGAGGCCTATAGACATATAATGAAGAGGAATTGTATTAATATATTATTTATTTAAGCTACCTTTCAAATATGTTTTTGTAAGAAAAACTTTTATTCAACATGGATGCATTAAATTGATTGAAAGACATTTATAATGTTACAAAAGAGTTTTTCAAACAAACATGTTTAAACTTTCTATTCATAAAAGATAATTTATTGTATTTTGATCAAATAAATGCAGCCTTGTTGAGCAGAAGACAAAGTGTATTTATATATATATATTTTTAATACTATTTTTTTTTTTTTTAAAGATCGAACTGGTAAAAAGTGCATTACAAAATTTATATATATTTGTAATCCACTTTTTTTTAACCAGGTCGATCTTTAAAAAATAATAGTAACTAGTTATAATACATTATATTACAATACTTTCCTCCTTGCACATTTAAAAGCTAAAATTCAGAACAAATGACATAACGTTAATTTGTTTGCCAGATGTTTTAAACCATTGTATTGTTTAAAGCAGCAATTATAAAAAGATAAATATTGCAATGTAGAATACAGAATACAGTGGTTACAATTATTTTTAAGAACATGCAACTGATTTTATTGCAACTGAGCCATTATGAATACATTAGGAGGATCCTAAGTTCCTTATATTCACTTTAACCTGTTAACTGTCACCCCCCCTTTTTTGAATAGACATGAAAATGCACATTTCGAACTTAAATGGTTGTAATTCAAGAATGCTTTGGAATATATACATATGATTGGTCTTGTTTTAAAGAAGACATTTGGCAGATTTTTGTCGAAGTGAAATAAATTAAGAAAGTGAAAGAGAAAAAAAGTTATAGAAGTTTGAGTTTATGGAAATGTACAATGTAAAAATATTAATTATTCATATTTTACATAAAATATATATTTTCAAAACCTGGGCTACTCTAAAATGGCAGAAAGATCAAAGCCAAAAATCTGAACAAGTTGTGTTTCAAATTTTAGGTTGATATCTCAAAAAATGAGCTTTCAGTAAGATTTTGTTTGAGCGCAGTACCAACCTTTTTCACTAGGGCACAATCAGACTCCATTACTGCCCATATAAGGGCGCCTGCATTTCCATTCGTGTTTTGAGTGATATGAACCATTATTTTCACAATTTTCATACAATTTCTGAAGTAGAGATCCTATTCAGAAGTAGTATGGGAAGTTTGGCAGATTTTGATATGAATTGAACCTCTAAGAAACACATACAAAGATCACGCATGTAAGTCATAGCTAGCTGACACGTCACAAATGGTGAATTTATTATTTTTTTCTTGATATTTCAAACTTTTCAGACCTTTTTTTTCCAAAATAATTGAATGGATTCTATCTTTTGAACTTTTGGCATGAAAACAAACTGAGGTATCTACCATTTTTTCATGATTTTTCATGTTTACTGCTATTTTAAAATAAAGGTCTGAACACGCCTTATGAGTATGAAAATATTCTTGTTTTATATTGATAAATTATGCCTCCTCTGTAATATATTTTGAAAATCAGTCACCAAATATGGAAACTAGAGATTGTAAGCTTTCAAATGATATATAGTTTGTCAATATTATTTAAGGTATTTACTAAGATATTATTGTTTTAAAAATATAGTGGCAAACGTCCCACCTGTGGGACGGTGACAGTTACCAAACTATACAAATTGCCAACTCCGAAGGCTTAGATGCAAATAGTCATTGTTTTTGTCTTGCTGTAACGTGTCTGTCAACAAAAAATTAAATAATGACTAAAGCTGGAAGATATAACGCAAACTAAATAATACATTATGATTGAATTTGAACAAGCTATTGTAATTAGTGCTGTCAAGCAATTAACATTTTTAATCTAAAATTTTTTTTTTCAAAATGAGTCATTCATTTTCAAAAAAAAAAAAAATGTTACACTAAAAATGTTTAGGAAATATTTGTATATTTGATGTTTGAATATATGTATATTTACACAGGCTGTTTACCTCATTCAGTCATTCATGCAACCAATTCATTCAAACGGCTTACTCATTTAGGAATGAAGTGAGTGAGATTGTCTTTCTGAATAGGGTCACTGAATCATTGGCACACTGAATTTGTTAAAAAACAGATTCATTCAGTAAAGAAACACTGATGTGTTGCTCAGAGAGCCACAACAATTATTTTGCTTAGTTGGAACCATTTGCATTGGGGCAATGGAGAGAAAACAGACAATATTGTGTCTAAAATGTAACAACATTAACTTCTTGTTTATATTTGCAAGCGTGCAGATATTCGGGTAAAAAGACACCACTCTTGCTCGTGTTATATTAATTGCTAAACTATATCATATGATATAGATATACTGTATATATATATATATATATATGATAAGACAAAAACCCAGACAGGGCTTTTTGCTTTAATATCTTACATTTTAGGGGCATATAAATGCGTTCTAATAGGCTTCATCACGATCAGTCGTTGCCCTGATGTTTATGTTCGTCACTAAGCAACTGCATGCAATGTAAGATAACAGATAGGTCAGGGTGCGCTAAATGTGTTAATCATTTTAACAAGTTATATTTTCAACAATTAATCGCACCAATTTAACACGTAGAATTGACGGGCCTAACTAATACACATAACTATGATATACAGCATCACAGCGCGTCTTACTGCCATCTTCTTCCAGTCTAGAGGAATATGTATGGTTAATGCTGATTGGCTAACGAAGTTGTCGACAAGAAGCTCTTTTCACCAATAGGAAACCTTTCGGCTTGCCCATTTCTCCAACTTGCAGCTATCCCTCTGCCCCGGAGGAGTTCATGTTCCAGGGTTAGTTTACTTCAGAGGTATTGAGCGCATGCACATTCCCTATTGAAGAGGCTCCAGTAATAGACTCCATGATATTATTATTATTTTGCTCTAAATATAATATAAAAAGCAAAATGGTTAAACTTGCTAGTTTTAAGTATTATTTTATTCAACAAGGCACTCCATGTCATGACATCTAAAGCTAATGTTTAAATAGGACCAATCAATCATTCTAGTCAACCTTGACTCATTGTGATATTATCTGAAATCATAAATTTGTCATATAAAAATTGTTGAGCATGTTGATGGTCTACTGCATATGCTCCACTGATTAATACTGACAGTTGTAGGGCTAGTTGCAGGTTTTGTAAATCATCCGGGGTTTCTTTACCTCTGGTGCCAGATACTCTGGCGTCCCACAGAAGGTCTTCATGGTGGCAGCATCGGTGATTCCTTCCTTGCAGAGGCCAAAGTCTGTAATTTTGATGTGTCCATCTTTATCAAGCATTAAGTTCTCCAGCTGGGCAAAAAGAAGAGAGTGTGAATTTGTCGACTTTTTTGAAACAGCATAGTCAACACAAAAAGTTCTTTTCAAATATGTCTTTCATTTATAGACTGCCTGTTTTAATATGCGCAGCAAAGGTAATTAACTGTATGTATCATGTTTTATTAAAACATCTTCATAATACAATGAACTCGTATGGCTAACACATGTATTGAACTCACGGGTGAAATAACATAAAAATACGAGAAAAATTAACAAAATTCATGTTGTTAATGATGGCAAAAAAGTTGACAAGTACAAAAAATGCATTTATTCCCAGAAAGTGGAAAGAAACTTCAAGCCACATTAATTTAACCTTTCAATTTTAATGGCTAAGCTGTTTGTCCAAGTTTCTTGGCACTTTCACAACTGGCTTGGTCCAAGGCTGCGAGCGAAACACTGTGTCATCATCCACAGCCGCCAGAGTTTGATGTTTCCAAAAACCAAAGGAAAAAAAAGCTCCAAACTCAAGAGCTTTTAATTACATTTTCCACGTCCCTTGACATACATTCGGATAAAGGCATCACGACTGAACAAAACCTTCACTCTAAATATATGAATTCTTTCCCCTTTTTCTGTTTACCTTGAGATCCCGGTACACTATCTTGGCAGAGTGCAGGTAGTCGAGGGCGGAAACGATCTCGGCGCCGTAGAAGCGCGTGCGGTCCTCGGAGAACACCCGTTCTCTCGACAAATGGAAAAACAGCTGCAGGGTAAACAGCAGGGACAGGATTGCAATAATTACTGATTTATTGGAGGAAATTAACACAACACAAACTGCCTCACATCGCCATATTGAGATGATAGATGGCGAGGCCCTCGGAGGATGCCCAGCGAACCCAGACAGCAGCTGGCACATCATCCCCGGCTTTCCAGAGACAGGCCGGCGCGGCCTGTTAAATCAGCATTTTAATCAATACACCAATCTTGTTAAAGGCAGCGCTGTGTACTCATGGGCTAACGCTCCATTAAAGTGGCAGGAGCACCCCGTCCCCTGCAATCATCCCTGCCGTGGCTTTTATGGAGCGTCTTCCCTCTGCCTCCCCGAGTCGATGTCAAGGGTTCCTGTCAACTATCTGGCCCTCAGCACCACTTGAACCTGGCTTATAGAAATTACCCAGAAGCCCAATGAGGAGAGTCTGTCTATTAATTGCTGTGGGATGTTTGAATACGGCTGTCCGGGGAGAGCTAACGGCTCTGCTGATCAGCTGAAGGAGGGGGTGTTGTGCAGGGGACCGGGGTGGCCGAGGACAGGTGTGCCTTCATCAGAGCACTGGCAGCTGTGAATGTGGCGAGGCTGAAAGGGGAGAGACGGATGGGCTCTGCGCAGCATGTGGAGGTTAGGGGCTCTGGCTGGACCAGGCAGGGGGAGCAGGTGACATTGCAGACTGAGGGAATGAGAGTGAGATTGCTGCTTTTCTGATTAAACCGCACCTTTGGTGGTGGAATTTCATTTATCAAAACTCCTGTCCCTCTAGATGGAATCTTGCGCTCTGCCATATCAAACTTCAACAAAGTACATCCTGAGCAACTACAAGTTTTTACCAAAAGGTATAAAACAACAATCATTTTGAGTCTGAAATAGTTATTATTATATTTTTTACTGATATTCACACTTTTATCCATGTAATTGTAATCAGGTCTACTGATAAATAGTACCATTTGGTAATCTCTAAAGAAAAGAACCCAACAACAGCATCGCACCACTATGATCAACAGCAAACAACTGTGTTCACGGGTCAAACCAATTTGTCCTTTGTTCGCAAAATTACTAAACTTTTTATGTAGGCCTAACACCAATTCATTCACAAAAAAAAAAGAAACCTGAAGTAGTGCAAAACAAGGATAAAAGTTTAAAAACTACAAATACTACTACTACTACTACTACTACTACTACTACTAATAATAATAATAATAATAATAATAACAATACAACATTCTAACCATTTAAATAAATAAATACCTAAAAAATATTTTACTTTAAATATAAAATAATGGAATAAATAATCAATTAAACTAATAATATTGTTGCTTTTTTTGCATTTTGCTTTTATCCATTAAAGTTAAAAAACAAATGTGCATAAAACAACAATAATAATAATAATATATTTTTAACCATTTAAATAAATAAATACGTAAAAAATATTTTTTTAAATGTCTTTAAATATAAAATAATGGAAGAAATAATCAATTAAACTAATAATATTGTCATTCACAAAAAAAAGAAACCTGAAGAAGTGCAAAACAAGGATAAAAGTTTAAAAACTACAAATACTACTACTACTACTACTACTAATAATAATAATAATAATAATAATAATAATAACAACAATACAACATTCTAACCATTTAAATAAATAAATACCTAAAAAATATTTTACTTTAAATATAAAATAATGGAATAAATAATCAATTAAACTAATAATATTGTTGCTTTTTATGCATTTATCCATTAAAGTTAAAAAACAAATGTACATAAAACAACAATAATAATAATAATATATTTTTAACCATTTAAATAAATAAATACGTAAAAAATATTTTTTAAATGTCTTTAAATATAAAATAATGGAAGAAATAATCAATTAAACTAATAATATTGTTGCTTTTTTGCATTTTGCTTTTATCCATTAAAGTTGAAAAACAAATGCGCATAAAACAATAATAATAATATATTTCTAACCATTTATATTGCAAAACAACGTTGCATATAATAATGGAATAATAATAATAATTTGTTGATATCAATATTTAATTCATGTTTAAACCATTTAGATTTCAAACCAAATGTGCATAAATACAACATTAATTAAAATAATAATAACAACAATATTGCATAAAAAATATTACTATTATTACTAAACTATAAGTGTTATCGGTTGTTAATAATATTAGCTGATAATTTGATATTAGTTAAAATTTTCCCAAAGGATGAGAGAAAGACTCTTCAAACTGTGGATGAATCACAAGACGTGATTCACGCACTTCTCTCGTGGACTTAACTTTTCTCTGATAACAGATTAACATTTTTAGCTCCCCACAGTCGCACAGAAAGCAGATATTAGTGACAGCATTACTACAGAAATAGATCGTCTGCCAAGTGCCAACACAGACGACAAGACAGATATACAAAAAACAAATGCAGACACACACGTACCTCTCCTCCATTGACATACTCCATCACGAAGCATAGGCGGTCTTTTGTTTGGAACGAGTACTTCAAAGACTGAAACAGCAGGTGGATACACCATTAGAAGAAAAACAAAAGGCAAAAATCTCACATAACTAAAACACACGCAACGTGAGAGATGCTCATCAAAATGTATGCAGTGAGACAAGTGTTTGTCTCGAGAGAAAATGAAAGGAGCGTTTTGAAAATCTTTGCTCTTTCTCGTAGGCCTTGATGCTAACTTTGAGGGAAGGTGAAGTTTACGAGGGAACACCAGCTTGACTGACAGTAGTAAATTGTTTTTGCTAAACCTGCTGTGTATGTTGCGTGGCATACAACAGCATCTGGAGTGTCAGAAAATTACCTCTCACTGGCGACTTCTCAACAGATGCACAGCTACATTTAGGCCGTTAATTTATTACAGTTTATTCTCTACGTTATAATGAGGCTCCAGGGAAAAGGCAATCATATATACAAAAGCATTGTGAAGCTTTAAGGTCTCTGTAAATCCACTCTGAATGATAGTTCATTACAAAATGTGCACTCACGGTTAAAAAAGGATGTCTCGTGTTTTTTAGTACTCTGCTTTCTGTGAGCGTGTGGGCCACTTCGTCCTACGGAAGAGAAAGAAGGTGTTTGTAAAATAAACTGTGTTTGCTTACAGTACGTGATGTACACACTCCTGGATATAATGAGATCGTATTACAAATCATGGGATTGAAAGTACACTTTTATAACGGTTAAAAATGTCATTAACCGAACTCGCACAACACAAAATGCCTGAATGAAAAACATGAAACATTTTTTAAATGAAATTCATTCACAAAATGTCCATGGCGAATCTTACCTTTGCTATAATAACCTCCTTCTTTAAAATTTTCATTGCATAATATTTTCCGCTGGCCTTCTCCCTTACGAGAATGACTTTTCCAAAAGTGCCTTTTCCCAATAACTTTAAATAGTCAAAGTCATTCATTGTCTGCAAACAAAGAAAAAGCAATAAATTGTCGGGCAAACTGACACCCAATACATGTAATTAGGGTCTACATTTCTATTTTGCTAATGTAACTCAATGAGAATACGTCCACATCTCTAAATCTGCTGTGGGGATGTAATCCTGCTGCTCAGAGACTCCACTGCCACCAACACACTGATACGCTTGTACGTTAGTTTGTTGTTTAAAAATGATGAAACTCACAGAAATACACTGCCTTAAAACACATTATTGAGAGAGAGAGAGTTTCATAATTTTGTGCAACCGAGTCGTAAAGTCTGTTTCATACAGTGGATCCTGAATCTTCTCAGTTTCATTTATTTTTATGTTGCTTTTATACAGATCATGTTGAAAAATAAGTTTGAATTGCATTTTCAACATTTGCTGCTTAGTTCATTGTGTGATAAGTGACATTAAAGGCTCAACACAATTGAATACAGTGGTACCAGAGGCTGGTGTTGTACCAAAGCAAAAATATTGCTATTGATCTAATCCTACTAGGCAGAGTCTGAAAACTTCCGCTCTTGTGCATTCCCATTGGTTAGTGAGAATTATACACTCTACAGAAACAAGCCGTAGTTTAACTTCAGCTTCCCAATGTCTCAGGTTAATGATGTCCCCTCGCACCAAACATCAAAATCTGTATTTGAATTTGTACCTTGCGTTTATGGTGGCTGATAGACGTGTCCATCTCCTCCTCTCCCAAGTTGTCTATCTGTGAGGTGGGACTACACTGAATACGTTCCTCTTCCTGTCTTTGGAGTTTATCTGCCACCATCTGGATCGCCTCTGCCCACTCATCCCTTTGGAAACACACACAAAGCCCGTGTTTAAAAAAAACATATACTTCAAGAATACTCTTGAGACACACTAAACAAACAAGTGGTTCAGCTATAAATGTAAACTGAAACATAAACTTTTTTCCTTGACATTAGGCCAGACAATCTGAGTAAATCACAAGGCCGTCCTCACTGGCTGACAGTGTAATCTAATTTAAGTGGGGAAGTCGCTCCTCTCTGCGAACGAGTGTCTCCCTCCATTGAGTTTTCATTTGTCGTGCAGCACAACATCTGTTGTGAAGAATCAGTGGTGCATTCATGTTTTTGAGCATGTGTTATTTTAATAATGATGGATTCATTTGAGCGAAACTATCGGTTTCTCACTGTTTTACAGCACTGGACTGAACCAAAGAGTACGGATGATTGGTCTACTGGTATTCTGTACCGCATTTCTACAAATGTACAGTGGTATATAATAATATTGTAATTTAGCACATTTTGGAGCTTGGATTGAACAACAACAAGCCACAATTCGGCACATTTTGGCAGCTTGTCGAGCTGGAAAAAACATCTTAACCCAGTTTAAGTTACAGTAGTTATCTTGTTTTCCTTCCAGCCCAGTCTAGTTTTGCTGGTCTATTTGGAGGAGTTTAGAGGAACTCCTCAGTCACAAGAATTGCCTTTTGTACTGTAGGAAACACTGATACATAAAAACATATGCACATACACAACTGTTTAAAAGTTATGATTTAAAAAAAAAGAGAAATATTAATACTTTTTATGCCGCAAGAATGCATTAAATTGATCAAAAGTGACAGTAGAGTGAATAGTAAAGTGACTATTGTCAATGTTAATAATAATAATAAGAATAAATGTTTCTTGAACCCCAAATCAGCATAACAGAATGATTAATAAAATCTTACCAACCCTAAACTTTTGAACAGTAGTGTCATCCAAAGTGAACTGATAAACATTATATTGTTTTAACAAAAATAACGTTATGATACTTCTATACATAAATACAGGTATTATTACCTAAATAACATAAAACATGCATATATAGTATATTTATGCTTTTATTGACACAGAATTATTGAATCTATTGACAGCAACAGTTTTATTTAATCAGTAGGCCAAGTTTTTTTTTTCATTTGTTGCATAAGGTAATGATTTAATATTGTACAGCAAGCTCTAAATCAACAAAGTAATACATTGTTTAAATGAATACATTATAAGCTAACTGTGAGATTTGTATATGTATATTTCTGAAATACATAACTTGATAACAGAACACTCTAAATGATATATACATTTTCGGTAAAGCTGCTTTGAAACAATATTGTGAAAAGCGCAATACAAATAAATGAGAATTGGATTGAATACAGCGGTATCAGAGACTGGTATTGTACCAAAGCAAAAATATTGATATTGATCTAATCCTACTAGGCAGAGTCTGAAAACCTCCGCTCTTGTGTACCATTGGTAAGTGAGAAACCCTCAAAAAAATGTATAAGTGATTAAAATATTCATTATCAACATAATGTATGGATTTGCACTAATGTAAGTAACTCTGGTCATTTTTTTCCAGTGGAAGTTGAATTTTACATGCCAGTCGTGGTGCATTTGAAAGGCCAAGGTAAATTCAAGATACTTTGGGTTAACACAGTAGCATATACGAAGGGCCCTGTGCATCCTTTCAAGGTCGTGTGGATAAATGGGTGTGGAGTGGTTTTGTGTATAATGAGCGGTTTTTGCTAATGAGAGATAAAGGCTTTGAATACAGTCTGGCGTTATGCCAGCTGCCGCCACATCTCTCCTCCTCACATGTAGGCCTGCAGTTTCTGGGCCTCTGCCAGTACGCCATGTCCCACTCCTGTTCAGAGCTGTGTGTGTGTGTGTGTGGGGTAAACAAAGTGTGCAGTGGACTGCAATGCCCTGTGATAGATAGAGAAGGTAGGAGAGCAAGAATAATTTGCTCAGTGTCTGTTCATTTTTTCTGCGTAAACCCTCCTAAAGTGTAGTTGTGTCGTGTTTTTTGCAAGTCAGCCACCTATATAAAAAGAAACTAAAAGAGGACTGGACTTTCAACTTAAAGTCACTGATCAACATTGCAAAACATTTCGGTGTTCCACTCCACTGACCTGCATCTCGCATTGTCCTATTGTCAGATGAGATGATGTCTTTTGTAACTTGTGGGGTCCGGTTCACAGAGAATTTTTCAGTCAAATTTAAGAGCATCCAACATCATATTCATCATATCAATTTCCAAAATTACAAAATTACCAGTAGATTACATAAGAGGTTTATCATGTGTTAGCCAGGAAGCATTTGCATTCAGGTATGATTTTCATTTTATTCATCAGCACTAGTGTCCATATGTGTATTTACCATGGTAACTGTAGTTTATGTAACCCAATATACCATCAAACCAAATTACCACCAATTTTATATTTTTGATGACTGTGCTGGCTCAACTTACTAAGTAGTTTAGCCTTTGCCTATAATACTGTTCATTCATCAGTGTTAGTGAAATTCACAATATATACACAATTTATGTTTATGTTAAGTGGGACTGTTAACCATTTTTAGAAATGAATTAGCTTTGTAAAATTGCTAAAAAAAAGTGGGTTGTGGCTCAATGATCAACGAAAAAAGGTGGTTCTCATGGCAAAATCAGATGAAAACCACTTATTTAAGGATTACTGACAATGATTAATTAGTGAAAATTAATACACATTATAAATAAACTGAACTAAATGAATGTATTTGGACACAGTGTTAATACAGTAGTTGTGTTTTCTACAGTACATTAGAGACCGTTCTCACCTCTCTTCTGGCGTGTCCACATGGAAGGTCCTCTCTATGACAGTAGTCCATTGTAGACATCTAATAATAAAAGTGTTGGGCTTTGGTCGTTCAGTTTTCATCAGCTGGCATTCTGGAATGACAGACCAAAGAAGAAAAAAAAAACCACTGTAGCCACTTTATATTTCATGTATACAATACAAAATTCAAAACATACACACTAAATAAATATAGACTTAAATCACAGGCAGGGAGAGAAAGCTGACCTGAATTCTAAGCTCAGCCCATTTCCTAACACTGTTAGCCATTGTCAGTGTTTTATTTGATAAACAGAGGGGAAGCAGCGAGTCCAATGTAAAACAAATGGCCATTAGCAGAGAGGAGGCAGCGGGTGGGAGAGTGCAACGGTGAGATGAATGAGCAAGAGGTACATTTTCTGGAATGCCACGCACCATTTGATATACAACGCTTAGCTCTGCCACATCAGCCACTGCTCAGTCAGAGGGAAATAATGCACTTCTCGGATACTTTATGAAAGTAGCAGGGAATAGATGTGACATCCAAACTGGGCTCATCACCGCTGCAGAATTTGGGGGCAATGCCCAGACGACAGGTGAAACGCAACAGCAGCCTCGGCTGCCAGCCCCATAATGAGGGCCCTCAGCTGGCCAATTTCAGCCACCTCTGAATGACATCAGGGCCTAAATTTAGACTGGAAGGTTAATGACGACATTGCTAAGGTCACGAAGCCACGCTCCGTACAGAACGTCTACCTGGGCAGTAGAGAGAAAATTGAGTCCCACGCTGAGTGCATAAAAACAAGGTCACGACAGCCAGAATGTGACACCTCGGGAGGAGAGGAGGCAGATCTGACAGTATTGTTTGCTTTGCCACATTAGATCACAGATGACAAATACTGCTTCAAGTAACAGTCGGTAAGGAAAGCTAGCATGCCAATTAAACAGCCCAGAATCTGCGATTTCTGCTGCTCCCACTATGCAACATCTCTTAAAGGTTTTCTCAAGTCCAAAATAAGGTTGAGAGGGTGCCAACGCACAAAAACATCAGGAGATAAAATATAGCAGTCAGCCCTTTTGCTGTGAGCGAGAACTGGCTTGAAGTTCTTGAAGTGAATTCAGGGTGAAGAACAATTGAAAGTTTCCAAAAACCTAAAAAATCTAGTTTAAACGTGTTCTTAGAAAATGTACTCTCTGTTTTTAAGTTCAGTTTCAAAAACTTTAATACCATTTTTAACCATCTATACACTTGAATGTAGATATTGTACACTACTGTTCAAAAGTTTGGAGTCTAAAACGTTTTTGAAATAAAACCTTTATGCTCACCAAGGCTATGAAAAACTATTACAATTTAAATAACTGTTTATATATATATATATATATATATATAATTTAATTTATTCCTGTGATGCCAAAGCTATATTGTCAGCATCATTACTCCAGTCTTCAGTGTCACATGATCCTTCAGAAATTATTCTAATGTGCTGATTTGATCCTTAAAAACCTTCATTATTATTATCATTCTTGAAAACAGTTGTGTACCATTTTCCCCAGGATTCTTTAATGAATAGAAAGTTACATTTTTATTTATTTTAAATAGAATCTTTTGTAACATCATAAATGTCTTTTTACTGTAACTTTTGGTCACTATAATGCATCCTTGCTGAAAAAAGTATTGATTTGCTGCTCAAAAAAACTTTTATCATTATTATCAATGTTGAAAACAGTTATGTAAAAAAAAAAATTCAGGATTCTTTGATGAATAGAAAGTTCAAAAGAACATAATCCATCTGAAATAGAAAGCTTTTGTAACATTATACACTACCGTTCAAAAGTTTGGGGTCAGTAAGATTCAGATTAAAGAAATCAATACTTTTATTCAGTAAGGATGCTTTAAAATAGAACTTTCCTTTCATCAAAGAATCCTGAAAAAAACATTTTTTTTGATGATAATAGTTATTTTAAATTGTAATAATATTTCTCAATATTACTGGGGGTTTTTTTTGGAACAAATTAACAAAAAATGTAATGTCATTAATCTTTTAATGTTTATGTAGAAGAAAAAAATGTCCTTTTCTTCCTTCAAAAAATCCACCTGTACTCATAGGGTTTTGTTTCCAAATTGGGGGATTTCACTGTGCAAAGCAATGTGTCATGTGCTGCAATCATTGTTAAAAAAGACAAATTGGTCAATATGGAGTGTGGTGTACTAGGCAGCAGATGCAGGGCTGGTCAGGCTGTGTACAGGACTCGGTGAGAGCGGGACGGAGGAAGGCAGTCTGGTGGCAGCTCATTGCACAGGGGGTGAGAGCGATGCCATTTCAGAGAGAGCATTAGGCTATCAGCCTCCCAGCACCACCTGGCCTCCCAGCTTTCTGCAACAGATGTGGCAATCCTCTCCCACTGCCAACAGGCCCAGGCCGGATGTATGGCCACCTCTAGCTCCTCCAGCCTTTAGATTAAAACCTGGCTGGGCCTTTTGACGGATGAAGGGTTTGGGAGCCGCTCGTAGCACGTGTCCAGAAACCAGCGCCGAAAGCTGGAAAGCTTGAGTTCGAGTTGCGTTTCAGAGAAAATAAGTCACTGCATTAGATGCTTTTACTCCAGTGCCCTGAAAAAATTATTTTAAAAACTCAAACTTAAGAAGAATGAGGTGAAATTGAACAGTGAATGACACAACGCATTATGTCTCATATTAAACACATTCTTTGTACATCCTCAAGTCCAACATTAGAAACAAGCTGAAGAGTCCCTGATCATTCCAGACCTGCCTCAACAGTTTGAGTGGTTTCTGCACTTGTTTTGTGAGCCTTCTAAAATGTACAAAAGGCTTTGCCTCATAACAAAAAAAAACAGCCTGTTTTATTTTAAATTTCGATGAGAGAATTAGGACTAACTATAATTTGACTTCATGACAAATAAAGTGAGAAATTTACCCCAACCATTGAACATTTAAAAACACATTGTGTGAATCTGAATCTGAAGAATGGATATAATTCTAAATGCAATACAGATAAATGAATCCACTCTTCTGGTAATTCATGGAGATTTACCTCTCTGTTGCCTCACAAAAGATAAAGAATGAACCAAATTGTACTCGTTTTGCCTTGAAGGCATCACTTACTTGCAACAGAGAAGTTATTGAGAGGGTAGGGAAGATCTGCATCCTGTGGCTTCTCCTTGTATCCAATAAAGGACCCATCGGTTTTTAGCAGGAAGTAGCGAGGTCTCCAATTCTTAATATATTCACCTGAGGGAAAAAATAAATGTACATTTAAATGCAAAGAGTTAAAACACATGATCTCAAACTACTTATGCATATCCATGCACACTAAAAACTCAACCTCACATTCACACTTTCTTTTCTTTTTCATGCTACAGGCACAGTGTAATCACCATGGGAAAATATCAGAGTAAAACCAGGAGTAAAACCTATGTATGATCTTTTTACTCTTTTAATTTATTTTATAACAGCTAATTTCCTTGCTTTAATTTTGTCATTATTTTTATTATTTTCTATAAAGCACTTTGAATTGCCATATTAAAACAAATAAACGTGCCTTGCTTTCTTTACTCTGTACATAGAAATGGAGAGACAAAAATGTCCCGTAAAAACCCGTTGTTTTGGGTAGTGGCAAATTACATGCATTTATATCAAGATTAACATCCCAAACACACAGAATGAGCACGATTAGACGGCGCTCGAATTGACTTAATTTTGACTGCATTTGACTAATCACAGGATTAAAATGTTAACATGTTTACCACTGCTAGTCCAGCTGTCAGCTACTGCATTATCTGCCTAAATCCAAGGGCAGGTGTAAGAACAGCCCAAACTAAGGCCAGTGTCACCAGGTCGGCTTACAGCAAAACGTGAGCGGAAACGCACTATGCAGGGGGTCAGAGAATCCTCACAAGGGGCAGCAGAGACACCTTTAACCTTCCTATGCTAAAGCCGCAAAAAACAACATCTGTTGTGCAGCTGGTCATGCCATATTATCATGCAAAACTTCTGGTGCAACAGCCTGTGCCATCTAATAATAAACAGCAGGATTACAAGGGTGTCAGCATCACCACGCAGGGGGCAAAGCCGCACGCACACACGGTCCAATAACAGGCTTCAAGAGTGATAATGCACATAACATCTGCCTGCTGAGTGATGCATGCTGGATGCTGGAACCAATCTGACTTGTTCATTTACAATTTCGTGCATTTAACAATGGAAAGTTCATGTTCAATTGATATTTTTTGAAAAGTAATATTTCTGGGATTGAAATAAACGCAATTTCGTCTGTTATGTGGTCATAATCGCACCGTGGGGTAAACACAAAAGGAAACAAGAAGTTCTATTTCTGTATTTCTATGGTCTTTTCCTTAGATATTCTACTAACTATAACTAACTTTGCAACTAAATGTCAAGTAACTCTGATCAAAGCATTAGTAGCCAGTTAGGTGTTAGTAGAATAAAGTAAGTTGACACGTAGTTGCAAAGTCACTTATACAGTAGTCAGTTGAATGTCTGTTGGGGAAGCATCAAAATAAAGTGTTAGCAAATATTAAGCAGACAGTCTACTAATACTCCAATGACCGTTAGTTAACATGTAGTTGCAAAGTTACTTATAGCTAGTAAAATGTCTAAAGTGAACCACTGAAATGAAGTGTTACAGCACATTTACTGTATATATATATAGTGCATTTAAACAAAAAATATATAATTTTCTTCATTGTGTTGTTCAAAATGTCCACTATAAAAGTAGTCCATATCACATCTACTCCATATTCCAAACATTACAGTAGTTGAACTTGTTCACAGAAAAAGAGTCATTTAGTCATTACTAACAAACAATTATAAAATAATTAATATAATGATCATATCTGTTTTTGTTCTAGACAATCTGTTAAATTTTTCCTCTGCATGTGTCTTCGCCATTGTCCTTACAAATCAGGCTCAAGTTTTAAAATGATGTAAATTGGTGGAGTGGACATCAAAATAGAAAAGCGAAAACACATCCTACTTTTGTTATTATCTAAGCCATAAAGCAATGCAATCCTCAGACAGAAAAATATGCTAAGTCTAACCTCAGGACTCTGTTTAAATCTGTTCTTGCTGATAGTATTTATTAAGATCGACAATCTGGTATTCGTTCAAGCGCAGACGCAGGAGAATCCGCAGACATGTACTTTCAGATTCTGAACTCCTGGTAATTAGCCACGATCTTCTCTAAGTGACACATGAGCCTCGTGACAGCTCTGATCACTTTTTTCAGCAGAAGAGAAAATAAACAACATGTTCTATTTGTAACATCCACTTAAAGCATAATGACACCAGCTTCTCCTAATTAACACATCAGAGAAAAACACCTGCTCATGTTAATTTGAGGAGACGGAGGTCTTTGCCGGTATGCCTCGACGAGGAAGAGAAATCACTGGGTAGGAGGGAACAGCTGAACAGAGGCATCCGCCTTCCAATCAAGAGGTACAAATGAACAAGGGAAAAGGGATGAAGCATAAAAGTGGGCTGTGATGGTCATCAGAGTGATCCTACATACATTTATCTGTCACTGACCATATTATTTTCTCTATAGATAAAACTTTAGTAAGAGGGCTTGATCATTTTTTTAAGATTTATCGATTGGAAAGGCATGTTGTGTGATACTCATATGGGAAACGCAGGTTCAAATCCAGCCCGTGTCATGTCCTGATTCTATTTCCCCCCTTTTCATTTTCTTTTTCTGAAAAAATAAAAAGTAGCAAAAAGTTTTTTTCTTTAATAATATAACCTAAAAATGTATAGCAATATAAAATATAATAATATTTAAAAAATAATACAATATATATATATATATATATATATATATATATATATATATGAAGAGTTCAGATGCAAAAGCCTCTAAATGCCATTTGAAATTTTCTTCTTTAATGATGATTTTTATCAAACTTGTATATTTAAGTTCAGTAATTTTACTTAAATAATAATTAATAGGTAATTATCATTGCCATTTAAGTGAAATCACTGAACTTAAATATACAAGCTTGATAAAAATGATCATTCTAGAAGAAAATTTCAAATGGCACTTAGAGGCTTTTGCATCTGAACTCTTCATATATATATATACTAATTACTAATTAGTAATATACTAAAAAAAACTTTCATCTTGTCTAAACTGTCATACACAATATTATACCTAGTGTTGGGGGTAACTCATTACAAGTAACTTCAGATTACTTTTTCAAGTAACTAGTAAAGAAACGCATTATTTAAAAAATGTAAGAGTTAATTTCATTTAAAGAGTACTCCAATGCAAAACTCCAATAACTCAGTACGATAGGCTAAATAAAAAAAATTATGCATTTAATCTCACTTTATTGACCAATGTACTTGCTTCTGACCTTCGATGATTCAGTTAAACCATTAGCAAAAATGACTTTAGACTTTTTTGTTTTTATTGGTAAAGTAAGTGTTGAACTTTTTTCCCCTTGCATCTTATTCTTCCGTTATCCAGAATGGCAGCACAGACGGAAGTTTGTTTGTACATGCGTGTTTTTGCATTTCCTTAATCCTGAGGCTTATTATTTCACTTTTGGTGAGAAAGGGTCTTTACATTTGCCCAAATATATAACTTTTTTGTTGTTAAAAAAAACAAGCCCAGCCCAGGTGAAAAAAAGTAACTCATTACTTTTCTAAAAAAAAGTAACTAAGTAAATTAGTTACTTTTTAAGGGAGTTACGCAATATTGTAATGCATTACTTTTCAGTAACTTTCCCCAACACTGGTGGATCAGTCATGGACAAACACAAAGCAAAGAGATTAATCAACAATCTGATTCTGGATCAGCCATGGTGTCTTGTTAACCAGCGTAGAGCAGAATCAGTGTGCCGATGACAGAGCCAGGGGTTGAACAGAAGGGGCTGCGTGACTAAAAGCAAATGTCGCTCGAACCCAGCCAGTGCCGTTTCATCAAGCCATTTTTACTGGCTTCTCAATCGTGAAATTTGTTTCTTTAGATCCAAAACAGTAGGCGGACAGTTGGTCTGGCAGGCGCTGGTGATGCTTCTACCCTCAAGTTTCAAGAGCGTTTGGTCAAAGTGAGCAGTCTTATTGGTTACCATTATTACCAAGCACCAGGGTCATGAACACCTTAGACCTTCAGATAACCACTTCGGTTGACTGTTCAAAGGATACTCTTGGTTAGAGCGTAGGAATCTGCATAACGATACACTTCCTCAGACTAAAAATCTTGCAGGTAACACCTGAGCGATCGCCGGCAAATATGCAACAGGACATCCAGTCCCTCCCGCCCCATTCCAATTAAGTTTTGAATCCAAACAGCTCCAATTGAACAATTAAAATATCATACTGGGTGCCATTCAATTACAAGCCCAGATTAATTGTTCATTTGTCTGTGGTCTGCGACAGCCTGATGGCTGTGGGACGGAGAATTGGACGGGCCACTTTCGAGACAGACGCGATCCTGAGCAAACTTCCCCCCAAAACATCCGAGCCACTCCTGAGACTTCCCGAAGGCTCGCTGCCTCTGCCACGCTCGTTCCGACGTGATGGAGCTTCAGCAGGACAGGAGGAAAAAACAAGCCCACGGAACACAAAAAAACAAGGCCATTTGTTAATCAGCCCAAACAAGGATTTAATTTAATGCTTTGGCGGGAACTGCTCTACTTTGCAGATGGCTTAAAGATGGGCATGTGATGGGTGCCCTGGGACCAGCGGGCTGTCGCGTTCCAGCACACGCCGGGCACTCCAAGCGGCACCAGCTCGCCTGGGCACGAGCGCCCACAGCCGCTACAGCGCAGCCTGGGCCCCGGCACGTGGTCCGAGACGTGGGCAGCATTAGGTGGTGCGGTACGGATGGAGAATGCGCGGGAGGGAGAGCTGGCCGCTTGTGGAGATTGGTGTGTTTTGTTCACCATGTACCGCAGCAGCTTGCCGGAGGAGAGCGGCTGGAGTCACTTTGTCAGTTTGGCAGAGACGGACGCAGCATGGACACACTCACACTCTGACTCATTCTCACACACACGCAGCAAACAGTTGCTCTGAGAAACTATTGTCAGAAGTATTGCTTCTTAGTCTGACCCATGGTCTGATGGTTAGCATGGCAGCGCTTTAATGCTGCAGATGTTCATTCGTTGATATGACTCAGATGAATTCAGTGAGCACTTTGGTAGACTGATGATTCAAGACGGACTTTCAAGAAATAAACTCATTTTGTCCACAAACAACTTACAAAAGTA